GCCTTGCTCGACGCGACTTCTGGCATGGAGGACAAGAAGGCGGGTGGGGAGGCAGATATTGCTTGGAGGGAGAATCCCCCTCCCTACAGGAAGCCGCGACCACGTGTCACGGGAGGGAAAATGGCCGCAGATCCTGTTTGTCACCCGATCTGGGATTCGCGAATGGAGGCAAAGTTTTGCGAACAGAGCTGTTTGTGAACCAAATTGTTCGTGAACAGAAGCGTTCGTGAACCGAGGTACCACTGCACAATATGCACCATCAAAGTGGAAAGCTAAAGGTGGTGACACAAGCTTAGGCTCCTGTTCCTCCTTTGCCTGCCATTGAGTTTTATGTACCAGTTGATTATGTCTGCTTCTTTTGCCTGCCTTCTGCTTTTTCCCCCACCAAATGGGTTAAGAGTTATTGATCAACAGCTGACAGTTACCTCTGGGAATTTATGTACCTCTGCCTTATTCACAAGGATATCTTACCAATCAATTACATCTGCAGCAGGCAAAACCTTTTCAGACATGAAATTTTAAGGTGGGCAAAAACAGAATAAGAGCCAGGACTTAAATTAAGATAAAACAGTGGAGACAATCTCACTATGTGAGCCAACCCTTTACTGAGAAGACACATAAAATGCTTTTCAGTAAAGCAAGAGCAGTCTATTGATAAAGAAATATACAAAGAAAAGAAGAGTGACTGGGTTGAGGGGAAGGGAAGGGGTAAGACTAGGCTGAAGCTGCCATAACTAAAAGATGAAGCAGGCACATAAGCAGAGAGGACAAAAGTCAGGAATCTTGTCTAAAAGATCCTTTCCAGGAGGTAGATAAGAAGGAAACAAGTCATTAAGGAAACAAAGGGAAAAAAATGTCACCTGAACCAGAAAAAGGAAGTTGGGCCTGAGCACATGGACCCCCCCCCCATCCCATCAACAGCTATCAGACTTGTAAATTAACAAGGCAAGAGTAGTTGCCCTCTTGGGACTCAGCAAAGCAAGGACTTGGGGGATAAAAGGGGTCCTGAGGCCCGCCCACTCCTTGAGTCCTCTTTCGAGAAGGATATGGATAAGTGCGGATGAGTGTGTGTGCGTACGTGCATGTGAGAAAGAGCAAATGTACAGTACATTGTAACCAGTCATGTTTTGCAGTTCCTTTAAATTCACTGGGGCTCCATGTATTCCAAAGGACCTGACGTGCCTCCGCATTCGGTCGGAAGTGATTTGCGTGTCCCTAATTATTTCCCGGCTGTTGGCCAGGGCTGTGTGCCTTGCCTGCTCTAGCCGCCCTCATCTGGAAAACCCAGGCAGAAAGCGGGGAGGGGGGGGCTTGCAAGATCCGCGTCCCCCAACAGGCCGTAAGCGCGTGACCGAGTGACCCTAAGCCGAACCTGGGAGCGCCTGTCACTAAGGCAGGGTGTCGTCGCTGGATGCGGCTGACGAGGAAAAAAGCGTCCGGAGGCGCTGAAGGATCGTAGTGGAGCACGTGGAGGAGCCGGGGGGCAGCAATGGCGCGGGCCACGAGGCCAAGGGTCCGCTCAGATTTCCTTTCCTCCCTCCCTGCTTCGAATTTCGACTGCCGTTGCTCCCTCCTCCGCTCGGAAAGAGGGCCGGCTTGGCGGGACGCTCCAAACCGCTACAAGCACCTTCAACCACAGCGCATCGACAAGCTCGCCCGCGTTGGCTCAACCGTTTCCCAGCTTCGCCGCCCAAAGGCGCCAGAGAGCCGGCTGCCCTGCGCG